GGAAGGGCGTATACCGTCTCCCACGACATTGATGAATCCTTCCCAGGAAAGGTATACCATCCCTCAGCCTCGAACTTATATGAACAATAGTGGTTGCTCTCACAAACAATAAACCACTACAAGTGTTAGGAAACCATCTCATCCCCACTAGGATAGACTAACCTCTAACACTCTATGACAGTACTCGAATGCAATTCAAGTCCATCACAACAACCATACAAGAGATACAATTCCAACAATTTCCTCAAAAAATAAACAATTCCATAAATTCCCAATTTCACAATTTGTAATCCAAGAGAACAATCTAGGAAAATAAGTAAGAGATCATCACAACATCATTTCATTACTCAACACCAAGAACTAAAGTTTCAAAGTCAAGAACAAAGGAAGAATTAAGAAGAAAGTCCCTCTCTTTTGAAAACTAGGGTTTTATATCAAGAAATATGAGATTTCATGGGTATTCAACCCTAACTTTGTTTAAAACCCGCTAATAAGTGCAAAAGATCAAGAAAAGATGATTTCATAGCATATGTATAAGATTTAAAGTCAAAAGAAATACATATAATTAAACCCTAGCCTCAATAGACAAGAATGGAAGAAAACCCCTACCTTGATGTTCTTGAAAAGACTAGGTTTTGATCTTCTTAAAATTGAAATCCCCTTTGATCTTGTGCTTTTCTCTTCCTTTACTCCTCTCTAAGGTCTCCTAGAATTTTGAGTGTTGAAATGGGGCTAAAGGGGTTATCCTTAAGTATTTATAGTGAAAGGAAAGCTGGTTATTCGCGACTTAAAATTTTCAGATTTTTCGAAGACCTTCCGGAAGGTTTGCCTATTCGACAAACTTTTTCATTAACCTTTCGGAATGTTTGTCTTACTGGACAAACATTTTCATCAACCTTCCGGAAGGTTGTGCATCGACCTTCCAGAAGGTTTGGTCTACTGGACAACCATTTCCAACAACCTCTCAGAAGGTTTTATCCTACTAGATAAGCGTTTACCTTAACCTTCCGAAAGGTTTTGCCTGTTTTTCTACAAATCATTCCTTCTTGATTTACAATCCATTCCAAACTTTTCCAATTTCAACCCAAACTTATACAACATACTTTTGTATATTAAACCAAGTTTATACAAGTTCCATTACAACAATTCCTATATTTGCAAGCTAAAATAACTTTTAACTACTATTTCCTCAAATTTTTCCATATTATCATTTCAAAAAAAATAATAACTTGCTATATAAATCTACATACATGTATAAAGATAAAAGTGTGGGATTTATAATTTCTGCATTTGACCCTGAAATTTAAACATAAAGTTTTTAAAACTTTAATTTACACACAAATTATAATTCATAATGTTTAGTTATTTTATCTTACACACTAATTAGGGTTAACCATTACTTACAGCACAATTTAAAAGCATTAGAGGCCTCAAGAAATAATTATTTAGGCTTGACAATCCATACTACTAATCTTCAAATTATTAACTCCAGATAAACTCCAATAGACTTCAAGAAAACATCAAAAAAGAAATCACCCATATAGTGCAGAAAATAACAATTTATTTGGACCATAAAATCACCAATAATGTCCATGAGTTCCTAAGAAAAAATTATTTGGACCTAAAAAAGATGATTGAGTTCCTTCTAGGAGATGGTTTCCTCAAAAAAAATAATGTACAACCGCAAAATCAGCAATGATCAAACATGGTAATTGTGATGGAATGTACTATATTTATTTGTACTGAGATTTTTGGTCAAAGGTAAGAGGTATCTGGAGGTAGGGGTGTTAAAGTTTAACTATTAACACGAACCTGACATGAACTGAACCTGATACTAAACTCAAAAATAACACGATTAGTTGATACGAATAATAAATGAATCAAATTAAGGTTCGATACGAATAACACAATTAACGGGTACTGTAGATAAAATACAAAAAAAAAATAACTAAATAAGGTATGAAGGTATGTCCGGAGTTCCCTGACACTTAAATACGCCGGGACGAAGAAGATTAAAACTCGTGGAGAATGGTACTTGCAACATTCTAAAAATAAGAAAATAACAACATTGCACGACAACCAAAAGTGGCCAAAATTATGTTTGCACTCACACTCACGTTGTACGCACAATGTACTAACAATGTCTAGCAACAAACATGAATCTATCATATGACTTCAGATCCTGTGTAAGACCATCTTCACTTAAATTTTTATTTAAATTTGAGTAAAAAAAAGTAATTTAACATAAATTAATTCAATGAAGAAATTCAAATTTAAAAGAAAAGAAAATATAAATTTAAAGGAATATAAAATATAACTACTGCATATTTAAAGGGAAGTGTAACGTATCTTACGATACATTTTGATATATGAAAAAAAACGATTGTTCAAGCCTGCCCACCATGCGTTTGTGGATTTGACACTGTGAAGGAATTCCCATAGACCAAGAAATTTGATGGATGTTGGATGACGGGATTATCCAAAATGTATCAAGAGAGAAAGAGACCATACCTAATTAGGGTATAATTTATGCAAATTAACAATTCCAGATGAACTTAACTAGATTTTGAGAATAAAATAAAGATTGCAATTACTGAGTCGAAAATAAAATTTTAATTGAAACTCACACAAATTAGGAATTAAAGATAAAATCCACATTACCCCATCAATATTTTTCCAAAGTAAAAGATGCATCGGCCTTTTCTAGCATAAAAAAATTCATAAATCAAAGGGCAATTGGTTACGAGAGAGAGAGAGAGAGAGAGAGAGAGAGAGAGAGAGAGAGAGAGAGAGAGAGAGAGAGAGAGCGCTTCCAAGACAATTGCCTGCCGCTAGGAAAGAAGACAATTGACTACCGCTAAGGAAGAAGAAAAGAAAGAGAAAAAAAGGACAAAAAAAAATGAGGGAAGGAGTGACCGCCGATAGGGATCAAGAAAAAGAAGACAAAAAAAAGGGCAAGAAAAAAGAGGGAAAAAGGAAAAGGGGATGGGGAACAATTTTTTTTTTTTGGTTTCTTTTGGATTTTTTGGGCAATTGCTGCAATGAATTAAAAATTAAATAATTTTATATGCAACAAAAAGTTAACGTCATCTCTTAGTTTTTGATAGATCTATCAATTGTGTCGGATAAGATAGATTCGTATTAAATGTTAGCGGGATTCGTATCAAAGGTGGCTCAACAACAATAAGAAAAAAGCTTGGGCTCTAGGTTCCAAATTTTTAGAAGGCCCATATTTTTAGGTACATTACTAATTCAGAAAAAATTTAAATCCTTTAAAAAAGGTCCCAAAAAATTAAGTACAATCAAAATTTTTATTATAATAATTTGGATCTATAATCCAATTCATAACATTAGAAATCTAAAATAAAAAATAAAAAATACTCATATTTATCTCTAGTCCACTTTTTCTCTGTAAAAATAAGGAAAAAAATGTTAAAAAAATTAAAATTAAACACTCTCTCCAATAAAAAAATAAAAAAAAGTAAAAACATTTTTCTCGGCAACACTAGCACGTCTTGCTTCTGTATCTCTCTCATTTTTATTTAAAAATAATAATATTCAAAAGAAAATAATTTTTTAAAAAATTAATATTAAAAAAAATGTCATCATTTAGTGTTTTAGGCCTCAAATTTCCTTGAGCCACCCCTGATTCATATTAAAAAATACTCAACTCATACTCGATTTATTTATTAATTCGTTTCTAACGAATTATGTCATATCGAATTTGTGTCGTGTATGAACCTTGTTTAAATGGTATATAAACAAGTCGTGTACTGCATATTTCTTCGTATTGGTTTCACCAACTCGTTTACTAAACAGGTGACTTAAAGTAGACTCAAACTTACTAATTTTGTGTCGTGTTAATGTGTTGTATCATATTTTGGCACCTCTAGTTTTTTATATCAAAATCGACTTTGTAGAGTTTAATTTTTTTTCTTTAAACTAGAAATTGTCTTTTGATGTAAAACTACATAATTTTATAAAATATTATGTGACACGAAAAATAATTGTGGGCAATACAAATTTTTTTTAGAGTTTTTCTTCTTTAAACTGCAAACTGTTTTTGAATCTGAAACAAGATTTTTATGTTTTATGAAATATTATATGCGACGGGAAAAGTAGATGCTACAAATATAAAAAAAATTTTTGAGTTTATCACACATTATTTGCGGCAGGAAAACAGTTGCCTTAAATATAAAAATTTCTTTTGGGTTTATTACACTATTTACGGAGAAAAAATAGTTACCACAAATAATAACAAAATATTGATACAAACATGTTTTTTGTGACGATAAACACAACTGTCACAAAAAAATTATCTCAAACACGTATTTTATGACAGTGAACACAGCTGCCATAAAAAAGAATTCAATTGTTACATCAATATATTGCATCATTCAATTGTTTAATTAGAACAAAGAGTTACATTATTTAGTATCACCACATAATTACATTAATTATACACACCAAATTGGATGGACCAAAAAATTACACTAATGAGGTATACCATATAAAAACACCAAACAGATAAACCAATGACACTTAGTATTTAACCAATGTATTACACTTGACACTCACACCATTTAGTGATAACAAAGAGCTATAACAACCATATATACCAAATAGTTTTATCAAAAAAGTTTTAAAAATTTTAAAACATGAAATGTGAAAAATAATCTAATTAAAATAGCAATCTATTAATGACTTCCTAAAGATTCTTGTCTTCCAAATCTTTTCTAATTTGTCGAAGACCGAGGGAGTGATTTATGCTTCTTGACTTTTCGCCTTTTTCCTTTTGCTTAATGGAGTCGGAGATAGCGGTTGGGATCAAAATCAATTTTGCAATATTTTTTTTTCAACTTAATGGTTTTTTAGTCATTATCTAAAAAAATTATACTTGACCCCAAATAAATTTTCATGTTATATTTTGGCTCAAATAAGTTTAAATATTTGTCAACCTTCGATTTTCCATAAATTTTTGAAGGCTAGCATTACTCGGTCCCATTAGGTACCATTCTTCTTTCTCTCCCCAGTCTGTGTCTCTCACAAAACAAAAATGTCGGACTATTTCCCCGGAGAAGTGCTTATTGAAATCCTCTCCAAACTCCCCGCGAAATCTCTCCTCCGATTCAGGTGCGTGTCTAAATCGTGGAGCTCCCTCATCTCATCCTCCGATTTCATTACCACCCACCTCACTCACTCCACCACCACACCCCCCCAGCTCCTCATCAAGCATTTCTCTCTCACTTCCAACCAAGAAAACTACTCTCTCTACTCGGACTCCTCCGCAACCCTCGAAAACCCTCTCTATTTCAAATGCCCATTCAAACCCAGATCCAAAACCTTCTTCAGGCTGGTCTCAACCTGCCACGGCTTGCTCTGTCTCTCCGATGACTTGTTTGGCTACGCCTACACACTCATACTATGGAACCCTTCAATCCGAAAATACTTCACTCTTCCCAAACCTCGGGTCTGCTTCGACACACACGGCCCTTATATGTTCTCTCTGGGGTTTGGTTTCGACCTCAAAACCAAGGACTACAAGGTGGTTCGAATCGCTTATTTGCAACATAAACCGGGTTCATGGGAACCCAGTGCTGGTGTGGATTCTCTGATGTATGGAACTGAAAAGGGTTACCTCGTTCCTCCTGAGGTCGAGGTATTTTCTCTCAGTACCGGTTCTTGGAAACCCATAAACTCTAATGTTCCACCCTATAATATGGTGGAGTATTGTTGGTCTTCTGTTTTCGTGAATGGGACGATTCATTGGCTAGGGTATTCTCATAGAAAGGACCGGGACCATAGTTATTGCAATGTGATAATGGGGTTTAATGTGGGTGATGAGATTTTGAAGGATATAAATTTGCCCAAGTTGTTGGTCTATGCGTACCCTCTCAATTTATCGATTTCGGTTTGTGGGGAAATGATAACAGTGTTTCAATATGACAATAGGCTGAAGAGTAAAAGGTGTTATGTGTGGATTATGAAAGAGTATGGTGTGGTCGAGTCTTGGAGCAAGCAATTCACTATTGAGATACCAGGTCTAGGTAGAGGGGTGTCTCTTGGTTTTAGGACGACTGGTGAGCTGTTGATCGCTAGAAGTGATGGAAAACTGGTTTTGTATAATCCCAAGAGCAAGGGTGTGAAAAAGAAAGGGATTCGTGGTGGTAGAGACTCCTATTATGTGGGGAATTATGTGGAGAGCCTTGTATTGTTGGATAGAGGATCGCAGATGGATTCTTATGATGAGGCTATGTTTGAGGAAGAACCTAATATCAGTGGAGAAGATGGAGCCATGGCTGATTTGCTTGAACGGAATTCATTCATGCATTATGCTTTTGCGGCTGTTTTTCTCAATCACTGATATATCTTACTGTAGATTTTGTGGTATAGACTTAGCTACCTATAAACCTCAAATCCAAGCATTGCCTTGCTATGTCTCTTTTGATTGGTGATGTTTTAGTGTCTGCTATACTATTAGGATTTCTACTGTTTCTTTTGTTTGGTATCTAGACATGATGATAAGAAAACAATGTTATAGTATCAAGTGTCCCTGTGGGTAATAGATAAATGTTAGTATATGGTACTACTCTGCTTTCTTTTTTGAGTGCAATGTTCTATGACATGGTACAGTGCTTCATTGTTTTTTTATTTTGTTTATGAAATGCTACTGTTCATCATGAATGGCAACGTCTTAAAAAAAAGTAGTTTGGTTGCATTGTGGAAAATTGCTTAAATTATTATCATAAATTCCTTCTATGGGGGTTTTCATTGGAGAGAACTTAAAAGACCATCCATGGATTTCCCTATATGGTTAGAGAGAATGTGTATGGGGTCATAGTTAAATGTCAACAAATGTGATTACTCTGCTTATCATGAGTGCAATGTTCTATGCCATGGTGCAATGTTCTGTGCCATGGTACAGTTTTCATTTGTATTTTTATTTTGTTTACCAATTTTTACCATTCATCATGAATAGCGACGTTTTAAAGAAAGTAGTTTGGTTGCATTGTTTTTGTTGTACCCAAGCCAAGCCTTGCGACAATTGTGATCATGACTGTCATGATAATGTTTCTAGTTTCATAAGATATTTGTTGGCAATCTTTGTGGGAATTGATTGCGCTTTCTATTCTCATGTCTTCCTTTTATGGGGCTTTTCCTTGGGGAGACATTAGAAGACAACTTCCTTGGATTTTGGTATATGGTTGCAGAGACTGCTTCAAGCTGATGGACTTAAGCTAATAAAATTATCAATCAGTCGTTCTACCTCCTTTATGCTTGTTTTTTTTCCCAGGTTTCTTATTTATCAGGTCAATTCATCTTCTATTACTTTTTATACTATTTTTTCTCAACAAATACATATTAACATACATGTCCGGTGCATTAATTAGTGGTGACCCTTCTGATGCATTGAACTAAAAGGAGTTTATTCTTTTCGTCGTGGAGATTCATGCTATTTGTATGATTATTTTGGCAAATGTTTTAGTGACTGAAATACATTCTACGGTTATCATATCTGTCCTAATTACCGTTGGGTCGTTTGTACATCCAATAGAAGTTAACACTGAAGAAACTATATTTTGTTTGTAAATTAGACATAAATTTGCATGGTAAAATGATATTGGGACATTGACTAATATCCTAATTGTTAAAGGTTTGACATCTGTTTCCTTTTGTGCTTAAAATACATGATGTGCCCCTTCTAATAATACACATAAAGCACTGTACTCTAGTTTGAGTTTAAGTTTTCCCGAAATGTCCAAAAGTTTGCTTGGCTTATGTTTGTTCCTACTTATTCTTTGTTTCTGCTAGAGTTTGGCATGGCTGTTGTATTGATCTTAAAGGGTCGAAGACGGGCGATATGAACACTCGAAGAAAAAACAAATTTCATTCACGTTGATGACAACAACAACTTGCATTCTTCACATACTTACTCAACTCTATTTACCTCTAACACTAGAACACTTATCTTATTTATATAGGTCTAAACCATTACTCTTAGCATTACACTAACACACCACTATCCCACCAACTCTTGTAACTGCTAAAATGTTAAAATTCACCGTCTCCATTTCTTGGAAAATTAACTCACATCTAATACAATTTATTCACCCACTCCATGATATATTAACATACCACTATTATCATTAAGACACCTTAATAATATAATAAAACTTTAAAACAAGTTTATTTTCCAACATTCCTCCTTAAACTTGTTTTTGAAATTCCACGTCTTTATCTTGCAGATTACTTCGTGATAGAGGGGCTTCATAGAATTATTGGAAACTTTATGGACCGGAGTACCACCTCCTTCAATTGCAAGAATCTTTGAGGGTGTGTTTGGATCGCGGGTTAAGGTGGATAATACTAGTAGGATAAGTGAAAAAAATATGTGGGGCCCATTTATCTTTGCATTTGGCAAGTAAAAAAGTGTACCCGGAAATCCCACTCAGATTTATCCCAACCAGATTTGAAAAGTCAATTGATTTTGGGATAGTACATTAGACTTTGGTGAACCTCAAGAGTGATTCTCCATGGTTTTTCCTAATAAGGGTTTTCACATCAACAAATTACTTGTATTCTTTATTATTTTTACATGTACACTTGTAATTTCATGCACAAATGGACACTATGTGTTTGATTATATGATTGTTTGAATATCTACGTATTACATAGTTGATTTAGTGGGTTTGTTGCCATTGGGTTGGGATTCTCAGGAGATATTGAGTGTTAATTGGTTAATTGACAAATTAAAAACACTAATCTTCATGGGTGTTAAGAGTGGTTCTGGTTGAAAAGGAGTTCTCACGTTGAAGTGTAGGTAACGTGAGTGTTTTAGGTTACACACATGAACACACCACCAACACTTCATCTATGGCCGTGTTTGTGAAGGGTAATCCAAACCCATCACCCCCCACGAGTAAACACAAGTCCAAAAATAGTAAGGGTAGGAACTTAAAGAAACTAATTATTAAGGAAACCCAAGCCAATCATAATGTGTTTCACTTGTGGAAAACATTACATTGCATGAAGAATAGAGATGTCTTGAATAAGAAGCTCATGCATCTAGCAAACCAATCTAAGGCTTTAAATGATCAAGTCATTAATTTTTCTAAACTTTTGGAGAGGTCGAGTGAGCCTAAACATACTCAGGCATCATTATCTAAGGGCTCACATGCTAGAGTGCACAAGACTTCTTCTACTCCCAAGATCAAGATTGATCTACATACTTCCGGATAGAAGAAAGTTAGTCTTCTACTCATTCCCCAACCAAACTCGGGTTTTTGGAAGGGAAAACAAGTTTGGGTGACTAGGGAGGAATTTCAAAAGCTTAATGTATCAACTAAGTTGGATTCTCCAACTAAGAAGTAGATGAGATGAGACGTATAGACTTACATGTATGTATACATGTTGATTTGTTTTCTTATAAGAAAAACCAAATAATAGAAATTGAAAAAACTAAAAAGATTTTTGATGTCAAGTTTGACATTCTTCTTAGGATTTATGGCAATTGCTTTATATTTTCTTTGTTATTGCATATTTATGCATATTTTTATGTTTATATGTTATTTGAAAATTATAAAAACATTGGAAAAAGAAAAAGAAAGAAGATTTTGTTTTGTTTGTTTTTTTTGGTTGATCATGATAATCACACTTGGGTTTGATTTTATGTGTATCTATCCTTAAATCAAAATTTTGTGCATTACTATGAGACCTATTAGGGAATAAAGATCTTACTGGTTATAAATCATAGCGTTCTTGGTTAATGTGTTATTTGTGAAAATTCATAAAATCAAGTACATGCCAACCATTTTTGTAAAATCCGGGTAGATTTAAACTTTTATGAATAAAGGGTAAAATGGTAAATTGTCACCATGATTCGAGTTGTAAATCTGAAATTTTTTGTAACTCGGATGACAAAACGGACCTCACCGTTGGATTCGTCTCGCGAAATCGAGTTACCACGTCAATTTTCGTCGAATTCTGAGATAGTCAAATTTTTCACGTTTTACGGAGCGATCGGGCTTCGGGTGACCCTGTACACGAAATTTTTTATAAAATTTTAAATTTTGGGCAATAAAATAAGATAAATTGAAATTAAAATATTTTAGATTTAAACCGGGGCGAGATTTAATTGTTCGGGACAAAAACGGACCCGGAATTAAAAATGGACATGTGGCCAATTGTGGGCCAAGTGTTCTAAAGTATAAATAGGGGGAAAAATCAGATTTTTCCCCCATTGTTCAGCATCCTCTTCAGCCGATAGAAAAGAGAGGGAAAGGAGAGGGAAAGCTTCAACTTCTCTCTATGATCTACATAATTCTAGTGCTCAAATCCGCTTGGACCAAGAACAAAGATCGTTCTCCTCGTCAAGGGCTACGTCTACGTACCAAAAGGAAGTGATTTCACCGAATAATCAAAGGAAGAATTTTTGGAGATCAAAGCTTTTGGGTTGGTTTTGGTGTTTTAGGGGTTTTCTACACTCCTAAGAGGTAGGGGTTATTCCTACTTTGGATTATTCTTACCTTAGGTGTTGCTAGACTAAGGGTGAAAATTATGTATATGCATATGTATTGTTATACATATATGTCTATGGGTATGAAAGTGAAAAAAAATAGCATAGGAATAGCTTAGGCTAGCTTCTAGCTTGAATTTGGTATATGGAGGTTCCATGTGATTATTTTGTAACTTGGTGAAAACTTAAGGCATGCTATGTGTTTTATAAACTATGCCTTGGAATGTGTTATGTGAATACATGACTTGAATGACTATAAGATGTTTGATAAAATGCCCTAGTGAAATTGAGTGTGTTACTTGCATGATGCTATGTTATAACATGCTTGGGTGATTGTGAAATCATATGCTTAGGATATGGTTTTTGGATGAAGAGTGTTATTGACATATGCATGAAATGATATATTGAGCATAATGAGATATGGTAGTTATATACTTATGATACAATTGCATTGATGTATGAAAATGTTTATATGTTTGTCATAAGCATATTGAGCATTATTTTGTGTGCAATGGAACATCACATTGCATTTGCACGGAAGTGTCTCATTACATGAGTGAGTGCATGTTTGACGTCAATACCACACTTGGTGATTGACGGAAGGCTTGGGAGAGTTGGGTCGAGGACTTAGCTAAGCCGCTTGGTTGCATGATGAATTGGGTTGGGGTAGCAAGAAGAGGCATGACGACCTCTCGGGTGCAAGACCCGGTGATTGGGCTACGCACTCCCTTGGCTCGGCCCATAAAGTGTGTGGGTGTATTCGGAACCCTCGGTCGAAGTCCGTAAATTTCGTGTGGGTTGGAGGCCCTTGGTGTAAGTCCATGAACATCCACCCCTATACAAGACCCTAGAGTGATTAACGCCATTGTGTGTAACATAAATGGTGGTTTCGACTAAATTGACACTTGCATGTGTTGGGGAGCCGGAGAGAGCTCGGAATAAAGTTGCATGGGTGAGTGTCACTTCATTCCATGGCATAGCATTGTTGCATTCCATCATAGGATGCATAAGTGTGAGAAATGCTTGGTTGTATGTTTGTGTGATGATTACATGAGCATGTGCATCTAGGGGAAGAGTAACCTCTATAGGTTTATCTCTATTGGGCGT